TGTTTATTCCTGATAAAATCTTTCARTGATACTTCTGTATTTCACCCATCCATTTTTCCTATTAGGGGTCTCATGGAATGTCTATTCCTTTCCATTTAATTTTAACCTAAATGTTTCTTKATTTTTAAAGTGACCTTTCATAAGAAGTATACAATGAGGTTTATCTTTTTAATAGATGAAAAATGTTCTAATTCAAACTCAGAAAATGTCAGTATACTGACATTTTCTGAGTTTGAATTAGAACATTTTTCAAATTTATATAATTTACATTAAATATGTTATTATATTGATTGGATAGAGTTTAAATCTATTACTTCAGTTTGTTTTCTCTCATCTCATGTGCACATCTTTTCCTACTTAATTCCTTTGAGAGAGTCTTTATTTAGCTTTCATAAACAAAATTTATATTTTTCTGTTTTAAAATTATAAATTATGAAGATTTTATCCTTTGTTATTTAAAAATTCTATAAAAATAAATCCCATCTTTTGTGATCAATCTTTAATTACTACATGGCTGTTATCTTTGTTTTGCTCCTCTAACATCAAGTGTCCCACCCTATGCAGTCCCCTGGGCATGCTTGGCCACCATCCACTTTGGGGTACAGATCAGGCTACATTGGCACTGCCAGGATGGCTCAGATTCGACCATTGTATGTAGTTTTGAATATGAATTAATTGTGACTTAGCAGATACAAGGTAGACATTGCAATGTGCTACCAAATTCAATATTTCATTATATACTTTTGAACCTGAACACTCTTTCAGATAAATAAGTTATTGAACTTTTTCTCCATTGGCAAGGTCAATAATTAACTTTTGCAGGAGAAAATTCATCTGCCCACAGATACGTAACTGGTAAAGAGAGGGCCCCAGAGTCCTCTGAAAGGGTGTTGGAGACCTTAGGGTTTCTTCAAACACACTTTGAGACTTTCTGCTGTAGGTGACCTCCAAATTGCACTTCTGGATAGCTTAAGTCAGAACTTCCTAAAATAGATAAATGTTGTAAAATATATGTATTTGGCTGTGTTTAGCAAGGTAACCTAACATGCCCAACAGTGTTTCCAGATGGTATGGAATACTACACAGTTTGAAAAAAAGTGAGGAAGTTCTTTACATATCATCTCTCACATGGATTATTATACAGACAAAGGTATATTTTGAAGCAGGAAGAAGGAAGAATAAAACTTGGATTAATATTTGCCTAAACAATTCAAGTTATAAAAGTAAGGAAGAAAGAGGTTAATTGCTTAAATATTTACTTTGTTTTGAACCTGTGAAGTTGAACTATTTTATAAGTCAATTTTAAAGAAGAGCATATAAATCAGATTAATTTAGTGAACATTTGTAAAATGCAGATCATGATTATGAAAATGCCACAGATCATCTGTTATCATTGTGTTTACTTTTATATTTGTGTCCACTGAAAGCAACACTTATTTTATTGAATTGTCAACTTCTCGTAGATCACTAAGAATGGAATTTAAAATGCCAATGCAATGTTTTTCCTTTTTCTCAATCRATGTAATGAGTTATCTTGATCTTCATTATCTTGTAATCTGGTCGCATCAAAGATYTTACTGTTTTCTTCAGATGGATTTGATTTTAAAACTCAGTGCTCAACATATCATCATCATTATATCACCACTTTACTGTTTTCACAAATTAGCAATTAATACTTGGAAAGTGTTTGTTACCATTCTCAATCAAGTATGTAAAGACATATTGATTAAATTCTATTGCAAGACAAAAWTATTAACTGCTGATACTCAAAATCACAAACAACTCATCTGCAGTTTTCTGTAAGGGTTAACTATATATGTTTAGTTGAACCTTGGAGATGTACTGTSTTTCAAACTGAAGTTGTAGAATTACTTTTTGGTCCATAATTTGATACTTARTAGTCCTTAAATTATGTTTCTTTAGTTGAAAATATATTCCTGTTAAATAGAAATTTAAATTAAGCAACTCTGTAAGTGAGAAATGGAATATTATTTCAAGAACCAGAACTGTTATTAATGAAAATTTAGAGGTGTTAGATTATATTACAGCATTTTAGAAAGTAGTAAAAAGCAAAGCAGATGAAACTGAGAGACAAAAAATGTAGATACAATAATTATGTTAAAKCCTAATATAACCATTGGAAAGTACGAGTTATTTGATCAAAATAATGATAATGTGGTCTCCATAATGGAAGTACCTCGTTACAAAAAAAGCATCTACATAATATTAAAATTCTTTATTCCATAATATTATAAGAAACTGAGTTTATGAAAAATGCAAAAAAAATGTAAGTTCATTGAATAATAGAAATTAGTTTTACAAATGTGGTTTCTGAATTTTTCCACTTTTTTATCTTCAATACTTAAATGCAATGGAAGGGATCATGTGATAATTAATTTATGGGAAGACCTAAGAAAAGAAACTAATTTTCTTTGCATGTAGACTGAGAATGGCAAAACAAAAAGTAAAAGCAACAAGATACTTTATTATTAAACTGGTCCATGTTTCTTCTTGGTAAAGGACTGAGTTATTTTTGTGATTTTCTAATAGCTACATAGTCTGAAGATTTTTAAAGAGAGAGTAATGATGTAAAATAATTGTGAGGTGACTTTTTAGTGGTCCTCAGATAGATAAACTATCTATGTGTGAATTTAGTCTCTGGTATATATTTAGAACTGAAAAGAAATCCTTATAAATAGTAACTTTCTGCCTGTGGCAGAATGAGATTAGTTATTGCTAGCCAGAATAAATTTGGGGGAATTAATGGATGTTGGTTAGTCTGAACTACTAAAACTGTGACATACTTAGGTATCCCTTGGTTAGGGTGACATCCATCTTCGGAGAAATATGTGAGGAAAAGTGGGTAGAGAAATGCTTACAAGACATGGGAGACATATGAAATAGCTAGAGCCATTTTTGAAGAAAGGGAAATTAAACTGTTAAATTAGTGGTATCTCTGGAGCCTAAGCATCCAGCGAGGGCAATGATAACTTGAAGGTAACCAAAGCCTTCATATTGTTGAAAGTTATGAGGCTACCTAAACACCTGCCCTATTTCTAGCAACTAAAGAATAAAAATGGATTTGTTTCCAGGAAGTTTTGACAAATTAACAGATACAGAATACAAATATCAATAAGTGTATTAAAACAGAATATTTCTGTTGCAGTCAAATTTGAAGTAAAAGTGTTTTAAAAAAGTAAAAATAGAGAGGCATAGGATTTATGAGAAAACAAGAAGACTGAATGAAATAGAATTGCAATATCTTTTAATATTGCTTAATTCCACTGTGGAATTTATAATCAATAAAATAAAAGTATACATAAAAATGATTTCCATAGTCCAAAATAGTGGGTATTAAACTCCCTGAACACCTTGGCATTAGAACTGATGAAAAACCTCCTCAGATTTTGATATTATTATTTTACTGACTATTTGGAGAGTATCTTTTCACAAAATTGTATGAACATAAAATATTAGTAGTGTTCTGCTAACCTACACTAAGTTAAGAGAAGAAGTTTTATTAGAAGATTTAAGATAACATAGGCTAAAACTATTGAAGTGGTCAGTTTTTATAGATCTTCTAGCTTACTTTAGTTTATAAACAAGAAAATGATGTTAAAGAATTAAATAAAGTTTTCCAGTGAATGGCAACTCAGAACAAGAACTGAAGCACCTCATTATCAATTTGGAAGTGTCTATTTATATTTGATGTTAGAGAGAATTTCTGCTAAAAGTTCACTTTTATTTTAATTCCTTAATGTATTGAAAATCTTTACTTTTATAATACAAATAGTAACAGTGCTCTTCAAACTACCTTTATAAATTATAAAAAGCAAATCAATGCATTTTTATTACATTGTGTTTTTTTATTACTATCACCAGGAAGAAAAAATAACATACAGATAGTCAAATAGCAGTGTACTTAAAATTAAGAATTAATATATTAAAAAGTCATCTTTTTAAATACCATTCATCATTATTATTTTAGAGATAACATGTCAGATCGTGTTCCTCATATCTACATCGTAAATTCAGAAACTTGATTTGTTGTGTTTAATGATTGATATACATTTAACTTATTATTCTCACTATCAGTGAGCTAATGAAAGATAGTTACTGACCTGAAAATAACATAATGCTATTATAGAGATATTTAATTATAATTAAACKTRTAAGTACCTATCTGGCCATGTTGTTTGGATATGTAAAAAATAAATTCATTTATTAGGAGAATTAATTTCTAATATTACTTTATCACATTCAATTTAATAAATGAAACTGTGTACTGAGTTACAATTTATGCTTTACTTTGAAATTTAGCTTCTGTTATGGATGTTAGTAACTTGTTTATTGCCAACAGTGCATTTCAGTAACAGTTTCAACCTGTCCAAAATTTGCAGCATATGCAGTTTTTGCAATGTAATTAGTTAGAAATTGGGGATGCTTAATTTTAAAATTGAATTGTTCATGAAAATCTATTTTCATACTCTCTATGGCTTAAGCAGTTTCTCTTCATAAAATGTTTTATAGTTGTTTGAAGAAATTAAGTGCAGTTAATCAGAAAGAACATTATGCTTTGACACCTAATTTGAAAGCCCTGTCTTAAAGCAGTGAATGATTGCTTATGGCATTACATATAGCAATGAGAAACCAAATAGGAAATCCATTTATGCTTAAATTAAATATCAGTATTGATTAAGTAAGGATGGTATTGTCTTCTTGTGAGACATTTTATAAAAGTGTATGTGTTTGTTAAAACATATAGTTCATTGTTTGTTTTAATAGATTAAGAAAAATAAAAAAAAAACATTATAAATATTTTCTAATTATTGTACATAAGAATGCATAGCAATGGACATTGATATTCTTTTATTATTAAATTAGAATTTAACATCAATTTTTAATGTTTAGCAGTTAGAAAAAAGGGGACAAAAAGTCTTAGAATGGTGTTGGTTCAAACGTTTTTGTCTCTATTTATTCTATGTCTATCTGTCTTTCAGTGCCACCAGCAATCACAATGCCTCAGAAATCATTTAATGCCACAGCAGAGAGAGGAGAAGAGATGACATTGTCCTGCAGGGCTTCAGGCTCTCCAGAACCTACCATCTCCTGGTCAAGGTAGGTTAAGCATGCATGTGTCGTCTGGCTCATGGAATACTATTTGGATTTTTAATCRTTTTGTCAAGAAGTAAAGCAATGTTTTTAATTTTATCTAAAAATTAATAAGGCTACTGTTTTCAGTTCAATTCCTGAGGTTAATTGCTAAAGAGATAAGCAGTGTGTTCTGCTCTGATTTTGAGTCCAAGGCTGCCCTCATGATGCTTATTCTGTCTTCGAGGGCATGTTTCTRGCTAGAATGGGCCTAGGAATCTTGTAACTAATCCTACCTTTTAATGTTACAACTAGTGTGTCTTGAAATAGATATCCCAGTGTTGCAGGCCACATTGTTATAAGTGTACTTTTTATTATAATGTAATTAATTGTATATTTTATTTGTGTGTAGATAAAAGGTAATTAKGCAAAGTTAAAACTTCATGAGTTTAATTTGTCATTTTAAAACTGTTCAACCTATCATATGAGTAAAATTTGTATTCTAAATCTATTCTTTAACAGTTTACTTATGTGAGATCTGACTGCATCACAGAAAACCTTTCAGGTCAACTATTATGATGAAAAAATATTGTCACAGAATATTATTTTAATAATTTAATATTTCCAAAGAAACTTATTTACTTAGATTTTTAAAAGTTTCATATGTATTCAAAATTGTTTTCTTATGTTTAATCAGAAAAATAATAATCATAGGGACAAGAGGAGGCAGAGTCAGAGAAAATAAACTGTAACTTATATCTATAATTTTTCATCTTAGTAGCTTCATATGTCATTATTTTCTTCAATTGAGTAGGATGGAAAAATAATTACTTTAAATGTAAATAGTCATTTTAGCCTCTGGATATAAAGTATGTATTAGGAGAAAGGGAGTATGTGGTCATAAAGTCTATAGAGATGACATTAGTTTTAAGGGGAAGTTTTTATTTTTGTGCTTTTTATTTGTAGATGTAAACAGACATCAAAGTACCAGCAGGGTTGGTTTCTGATAGCTCTCTCTTAGTGGCTTATACATTGTCTCCTTTATTGTCATATGCTCTCTCYACTGTCTGGAAAGACTGAGAAAGAGATCTCTAGTATATCTTCCTCTTCTTTTAAGTGCACCTGCTCCATCATGGATAAGTTGCCCCATGTAATCTCATTTAACCTTAATTATGTCCTTAATGGCCCTATCTTCATATACAGTCACTTAGAGGACTTAAGGAATCAAAGTTTGAATTTRGGAGAGAAGAGCCATTTGGTAGAAGTAAAGAAGACAGTCAAGGAATAAAAATTGAGAAACTATAAGAATATTTCACAAATACAATCAGAAACAAATAAGTGGTATTTAAATAAGTGAGAGGAAAAGTAGCAATTCTACATCTCTCCCTTCATTCCCTTCAAATAGTTGTTTTCTATGTACTGAAAATACTCTATACACTTTTATTGTTAGCCCATTAATCTAATAAGTTCCATTGATTTTCAAATGTTAGGGATCCCTTATATTCCTTGTTTAAAACCCACTTAAGATATGTTATATTTTTATGTATCGTTGTGATAGATATGATGATAATGTTAAGAATTGTTGAATTAATGACTATGAGAAATATAATATTATTATTTTCTCATTCTTGAATTGTTACACCTCAAGGCAATATTGGCCTTATAGGCTGAACAGTGACGTATTTCCTCCTCTTCTATTTCATAATAAAGTTTGTATATAACATTGCTTATTTATCACTTAAACATTTGGAAAATACAAATAAAACTACAGAATACTATATACACATTATTATTATTTTAACTTTAAGGATTTCTACTTCTCTTGGAAATGCACACTTCCTAGTATATATGTAGAGATGTCATAAGAAACTGGGAAAAATGATGTTATTGAGTCACAAAAGAATAAGAATTTTATTAGAATATGTGTCAGTGTTTACTGGAAAATGTAATCAGAATTTACTTCAAATATTCATGATATATCATAGAAATGTTTTGTTTAATTTTGGAAATATTTTAATAAAATTTTTAGGTTTTTTTAGTTTCTAATTTATATGAAAAAGTAAATATTCCCACTAATACAAATCCTAAACATTTTATGTTAGTGAGTCCTAAGATCAATTCAGACATTCAAACCACTATATWTTTGTACTAGGAAGAGAAGCAAAGAAGAAAAATAAAGAAAAGAATGAGGTAAAAGAGAATGAGGATAATAAAAAAAAGAAGCAAAGAGAATACATAAAAAGTTTTTCAACTAATAAGGGCAATTGTAGAAATGTTTCAGAGTTTTAATATATTTAAAATATCTCCGGGCTGGAGATGTGGCTCAGCGGTAGCGCGCTCGCCTGGCATGCGTGTGGCCCGGGTTCGATCCCCAGCACCACATACCAACAAAGATGTTGTGTCYGCCGAGAACTAAAAAATAAATATTAAAAATTCTCTCTCTCTCTCTCCTCTCTCACTCTCTCTTTAAAAAAAATAATAAAATAAAATAAAATATCTCCTATTATACAGTCTACTAGAAAATACTTGAAAGGTTATATATACCACACTTAGAGCAGAATTAGATCTATTTCATTGTATAAACACTGCATRATTAATGTGATTCTATTACATGTAAAATCAGAAAAGTGAGAAATTATATCCCATTAATGTATGATATATCAAAGTACATAAATGCATTCCACAGTCATATATAACTAATTAAAACAAATAAAAAATTGAAAATATTTATTAAATAAATGTTATTTGTGAATAAAAAAGAATTGGGAAAATTTTAATTATTTGTGTCTAAAAGGAAACATAAAAACTTCCTATTTTCCTTCATCAATTAAATTATATCCAGCATAATATTTCTGATTAGTTGTGCTTTCACTTGATTTTTTCATTAATGTATTGATASTACTTATATACAATAAAAATTTTTGATGTGTTTTTATTGTACTTACATTGGAATTTATTTAAATAAATTTTCCATAGAAATTATTTTTAGAAATGTGTCCCACCTAGAAAATAAGCATATTTCATAAAAAAATGTGTTGGCTCACCAACTTAAAATGTGTGAAGGGAATAAAAATAACCAAAGAATACTGAGTTTTTGCTAATAATCAAAGTTTAAATTGAACAAATATGCTTTTGTAAACTGACTAAAGTCAAGATTTCAACATTGCCCAATGGATTTCTTGTCTCTAAAGTCAAAMCAAATTTTAAGCATAATTTTATTATTTACAGATTAAATTACTGGAGTACTAAAACATACTTTTGATTGGACTATATCACTGTCTATCAATGACAATAACCATGAAATAATAGATGCCTATAGATCAAAAAGTTGATTATGATCTCCTGGGTTATGAATACAAATTTATGAAGAACAACCTTCTTTTTCTTCTTTAGGAATGGCAAGCTCATTGAAGAAAGTGAAAAGTACCTTTTGAAAGGAAGCAATACAGAACTCACTGTCAGGAACATAATCAATAGTGATGGAGGGCCTTATGTCTGCAGGGCCACAAATAAGGCAGGAGAAGATGAAAAGCAGGCATTTCTCCAAGTCTTTGGTAAGTATTATAGCATATTGCCTAAGTCTTAGATGTCTAGAGGGGTACCTGAGTAAAACTTCTACTCTGCTGTTAATGCAAACCATTTAAATTTCCATAATTAAATTTGGTCCTATATAATTTACTCCCCTCTGAAATGTATTTTCAAATTTCAACTACCAAATAGAACTGTCTTAAGAATTACATCAAATCACCCCTTTAAATTTTTATAGAATATTACCTGAATCATAACTGAATCTGAACAAAAAAAAATAAATTGCTTCAATGGATTCTGTAATGTTTTATATCTCCATGAGGGTTAGTCTTCATGAGTCTTAAATTTCATGTTGGGATCTATTTTCCATTCACTATACTTAAAAAAAATTCCACATGAAACCCCAAGAGTCCCAGCAGTTCCATAGGCTGAGGTAGGAGGATCACACATCCATAGCCAGCCTCAGCAAGTTAGTGATTAGCCCTACATAACTTAGTGAGACCTGTCTCAAAATAGAAAATAAAAAGGGYTGTGGATGTGACTCAGCAGTTAAGCTCTCCTGGATTCAAAATCTGGTATTAAAAAAAAATTACATTATGAAGGCTCTGATTTAGAAACATTGAGCTAAACATTGATTGAACTATAATTAAATATCTGTTTTCATTTTACTAAAATAAAATATGTAAATATCCTTCATATTTAGMAAGAGATATAATGTTTACCTTGGAAGTGGATAGAACATAGAGAGTTAGTACTATTTTAGAAAACTTTTGATTTACCTTTTATTATATTTGAACAAGAAAGAAAATTTGCCATTTGATAGTTATATGATTTTTCACTTTAAAAAGTGGAAAAAATTACATTCTCTACTAACATTTAGTATCTCTCCATCTTTGGCAATACTCATCAAAATGCTTTCACAACAAAGAAAAGGAAAGTGAAGAAGGGTGAAATCTCTAAGATTAAGAATGACTAGCATTAGCAGTTGACAGGTATAAGGGTTCCTCTTATATTAACTCCCCAAAAATGATAAAATGTTACATCAGAGTTGTAATCACTTTTTTAATACTGCTGAATAAATACTAGCAGGGGGACCACTCTCTTCTCRGTTGTGCCACCATTATAATAAAAGTGCTTTTCAAACCAGAGAAAATTTCAAGAACCCTTATATTCTTTTGGGGAGAAACAAACAACCATACCAAAGTATATTAAAATAAAATAATAAAATTTGACTAATAAGATGCTTCAAAAAGAATATGAAACTGGAAAAATTGGATAACATTGTTTTAAAAGGACTATAATTTTGGATATCAGAGTGTTGGAAAGTTAGCATAAAGAGCAATGTTAAGGTGATGTTAAACAAGTCTTTAATGAGGAGAAAGAGGAAAAAACTAAGAGCCCAGAGATTGCTCACATAGAGGAAACAGGAAATAAATAGAAATCTATCCAAAATCATAGGAAGTCCTTAAATTATGAAAAGTTCCCAAGTGTTTACCTCTTAAAAAATTGTTGGAATAGAAATTTTCAAAATAGTTTCTGATTATTGTCTGTATTTCAGTAGTGTCTGGGATGATATTTTCCTCTTCATCATGAATTTTAGTAATCTGAGTTTTCTCTTTTTCTTCATTAGCTTAGCTAGGGTTTATCAATTTTGTTATTTTTCTTTAAAATCTACACTACATAAATATTACTCAGTAAGAAAATAATTAGAAATGGTACTATATGACAGAATTCCCAAGTATAATATTCTCAGATGCCTCTATGGATTCATCTGAAATACTATTTTGTTGCTTCTTTTTTTATTAGGATACCAGTGAGAATACAAAGAWAAAAAAGTTTCTGGTGTTTTCATCCTTTCAAATAAGAAATAATAAAACGTTACATCAGGGTTGTAATCACTTTTTTAATATCGCTAAATAAGTTTGTGTTCCTTTAACACAAAGTAATCTGGAAAGAGTAACTAACTAAATACATTACATACAATAGAATAATGAATTCTTGAAAATTCAATATGACATATTTCTGGTATCAGGAATGTTATTTTTTGAGATTAAGAGCAACTCTTTTTTATTTTGCTTATAGACAGATATATTAAAATATTTCTTGTACTGAAAAACAAGTACTGACTTTTAGGCTTTTATCCATTTTGTATCTAAAGAAGGAAAAACATAAGAAATAATACTTCAAAAAAATGTCTTGCATACTATGTATACTTATAGAGAAGCATATTTTTAAATATTAAGAATTGAAATTAATATAAAATATTTTAGTAGATACAAAGAAATAATTAGTTTAATAATCAATACATTGTTAAAGCAATACCTCCATATAGATACTGCTTCAAAAGAGGAAATTTAAATTTGTGACTTTAAGAGAGAAATGAAGTATGTTCACTTTTTGAAAAGAATTATAATTTTTATGTTGGTCTCTAAGCTACTCAAATATTTTAATGATAATAAATGAGTCTTCCAGAGTTGTTCTTTCTCCGCTCTTTTTCACTTTACTGGTACTCTAGTAAAGTAAAGCATGCCACTGTAAACTGCTGTAGTTAATCACCTTGTATTGTATTAACATCAACTAAAGAGCCCATTACCCATATTAAGTTCGAACAGTTATTGTCTTCATCCAATATCAATTGAGTAATGTATACATTTTTTACAGTACAGCCTCACATTATACAGCTTAAAAATGAGACTACATATGAGAATGGTCATGTCACACTCGTCTGTGAAGCAGAAGGGGAGCCTGTCCCAGAGATTACTTGGAAAAGGGCTGTAGATGGCATCACATTTTCTGAAGGCGATAAGGTAACATAGACTCAATATGTAGTGGTGTCCGATAGCATTGTCCTGTCCAGAATTTTGAATATTAACAAATCTCAAGTTAGTATCTAGCTTACAAAGGAACTTGTACAAATCAAAGATGTGGCTTAAATTTTTAAAAATATATTTATTTATTTATTTTTTAGTTGTAGTTTGACAGGATACTTTTATTTATTTATTTTTATGTGATGCTGAGGATTGAACCCCAGGCCTTGTACTTGCTAGGCGAATGCTCTRCCACTGAGCCTSGATCCCAGCCCAATGGCTTAACTTTTTAAAAGGTAACTAACTTAGTTTATCAGAGAAAAATGTCAACGTATAACATTTAAAGATGTTTTTTCCATTAAATTACAGAATTTTAGTTTTGGGTATTATTCTTAAGGTTGCTTCCAATGGGTATTCTTATACATTGCATATCTTAAATATTCTGTGGTAATTTTCACCTCCCCATTTGCTCTTTACATAAAAGCAATTCAAATATATAAAATTCTGACTATCATTTACTCTTTAGAAATGTCACTGGGTTTCTGCTTTCCTATAATTTATACACTGTAAAAGAAAAATATGGGTAAACAAATTTAGCCTTTTGATGACCTTTCACCAAAATGCATTCAAGTTACTGAGAAATCAATTAAACATTACTGCATGTTTCATGATACTCCACAGATTTTTATTTTACTTTTCATCAATTCCAAATATAGACAAAAATAGAAAAGAAAAATGTTGTGGTGCAATGACATGGTACAATTGACATTTCACAGCAATAAAGATGTTGTAATTTGGCTTTTAGATGGTTTTGCTCAGAGTTAAAATTCATTAGTTTTTACAGAATGTCTAGTTTCTGAAATATACGTACACCTAAAAGTACTTCTGACTTACTAGTATATTGGAGTGGAAAGACTTGAAAACATTTGTCTACAGTACATTTTCCATCCGTCCAACTTATTATATTATATTTAACAATCTATTTAACTTCATAAASTGACAAAAATTGCATCTCTCTTGTCCATTTATTAACTTTTGAAAGGATGCTTTTCCATCACCCTTTTTATTTGTTCCATTTCTTCCTCATGATAGCATTTTTTATGAGTGTATATTTTTTGGTAATAGTAGCGCTGTTTTGGCATTCTTGTTTTATATATTCAAGTTGAAAACCAAATTTATAAAATGGGAAATATGATCGCAGTCTTCTTGGAACCACGGTTGTACACAGTTTGCTTTAGTATTTTCTTAACATAAAATAACAGATACTGCTATAGCAGAGTTTCCACGTCTAAAATGAGTTAAATTTCAATAAAATTAGTAAAATATAATCAGATATCAAAAACTGTAGAGGATTCTTTCATATTTCAATTTATCACATTTATGTGGATTAGATCCACACATGCACTTTGTCCCTTATTAAGCGTACCTTCCTGTTAGTAATGCTAAACTTTCCAATTGTTTTCTGGTCTACTGAAAAAAAAATTACTAAAAGTTCTCTTCTCAAAATCAGGTTTTATTTTTCATATAATTTATATTTCTATATGTATACACTGAGAATGAAAGCAGATTATATTCATATATTTTATCAGCATGATAAAATATGGTCTCGATCACCTGAAACTACACACAAAAATTTCTTCCATAGTGTCTGTGAACACAGTATTCCAGTTTGTGTTTGCTAAGAACTATTTTTATTAGAGAGCACATATTTCTATAAAATGTTTTGATTTGGTAATTTTTCACAAATTATAGAAACCAAAATATGATTTTTGTACTAAGATGATACAATGGATGAAGAAATGACAACTATTTACATTCTATCTTCCCAATTCTCCCAAAATACTTTCATATCTGGACACCAAGAAATCTCCTTTCTTCTAAAATTCCTACTGTCTTCAGCAGTAAATTTCAAAAATTGAATACTTGCTCTGAGCTTTTAAGAAAGACAAATCTAGTTTTGTATTTCAGCTTTGCTAAATGGTGGTTTACCTGTGGCAATAGTATTTGAACTCTTTGATTTCCTTCACCTAAAATATTGATAATTCTTATTTTCCTTTTATTTAAGGATGATGAAGAGTATATTCAAAAACACATGTCCAACTTAAGTATTCATTACACATTTTTCATCTTTGWCATATTACATAGTGTTCAAGCACAGACTATCTTGTTTCTCTTATTCTGTGTAAATTCTGTTTGCAGAAAGTTCATGCAAATTCTAATACCTAATGTTTGATTGAACAATACTATCATAGATTGCACTGATATCATATCATTCTTGTGATGAAAAGTGGCAGGAATGCAAAAGAATAAATGTAATGCACTATATAAATTGAATCAAGGGTAAGAATCACATGATTATGWTAATAGATGGAGAAAAAGCTTTTGATAAAATTCAACTACTCTTCACTATAAATTGGGTGTAAAAGGATCATAGCTCAACATGATAAATACTATCTTTGACAAACTCATAGCCAATATCATACTGAATGGGGGAAGACTGGAAGCRTTTCCTCTGAAATCAGAAACAAGACAAGGGTTTCTACTCTTACCACTCTCATTTAACACAGTATTGGAAATTTTAACCACAGCTATTAGGCAAGGGAAAGAAATAAAATGGGTATGCACAGGAAAAGAAGAAATCAAATTGCCCTGTTTGCAGATAATGATTCCATTGCTAGAAAACCCTAAAGTGTCCATCAAGTCTCTTAGAATTGATAAATTCATCAAAGTAGAAGGAAATAAAATCATCATACAAAAATCATTGGATTTCTTGTAGACCTACAGGCTTCAAAAAGAGAGGGAAGAAAGGGAAGGAAAGCAAGGAGGAAAGGAAGTGAGGAAGGAAATTCCAAGGAATACACCTAACCAAGGGATTGAAAGCCTTCTACAATGCAAATTACAAAACACTGAAGAAATTGAAAAAGACTCTAGAAAATGGAGAGACTTCCCTTGTTTATTGATTGAGAGAATCAACATTGTTAAAACAGTCCTCCTAGTGAAAGTGATCTATGGATACATCACAATCTCCATCAGAATGCCAATGACATTCATCACAGAACTAGAAAAAACAATGCTAAAATAATATGGAATCACAAAAAATAAAAACTAAACAAAACCCTGAATAGCCAAAGCAGTCATTGGCAGAAAGAACAATGCTAGAAATATCTTAATACCCAGTTTMAAAAGTATACTATACAGCCATTATAAGAAAAACATCATGATATTGGCATTTGCAGGTAAATGGATGGTGTTGGAGAAGATAATGCTAAGTGAAGTTAGCCAACACCAAAAAAACAAATGCCAAATGTTTTCTCTGATATAAGGGGGGTGACTCTTAGTGGAGTAGGGAGGGAGAGCATGGAGGATTAGATTAATTCTATATAGGGAAGAGGGGTGGAAGGGAAAGGGAGGGGGAAGGGGATTAGCAAGGATGGTGGAATGTGATGGTCATCATTATACAAAAYACACGTATGAAGATTTGAATTTGGGGCCAACATACCTTAAAAACAAACAGAGATATGAAAAATTGTGGTATATATGTGTATTAAGAATTGTAATGCAAAAACAGAGTACATGTATAATGGCATAAGTTGGCATGAACATACTTTATAAACATAGATATGAAAAATTGTGCTCTATATGTATAATAAGGATTGTAATGCATTCAACTGTTGTGT